CGTGTGCCTCTGTGCCTCAGGGGGAAGTAAATTTGGCAATCATCGGCATAGAAATGAAAGGGTATGTCGTGTTTGCGGAAGATAGCACCTAGTGGCAGCAGGTATAAAGAAAAGAGAAGGGGACCGAGGATGGACCCCTGCGGTACCCCCCACTGGAGTGCGGTCGATGCCGAACTAAAATCTTTGATATGTCCATGTAAACATAGCTACTGTTGCCTCACAGCAAGAAGGTCCTGGGTTCAATCCCCGGTTGGACCTGGGGTCTTTCTGCGCGGAGTTTGCACGTTCTTCTCGTGCTGGCGTGGGTTTTCTCCAGCTGCCTTCAGGTCCAGACCTCCCTTGCAAAAGAGATCTGTGATCTCAATGACATTTGCCTGGTTAAATAAAAGTTAATAATAATAATAATAACTGTTTGTGTGAGACTTACTTCTTTGTCTGTGTTTCTGTCTGCCTTGTATTATAAGAGCAGCCAGGAAGCAGACACAGGTGTGTGGTTACCATGGTGACCCTAATGAGCGACAGGCTGCAGCTTCACCCGTTTGTTTGTTGTTTGTGTAACTTCCTACAGTTCATGAACTGGTTGCGTCCTCTCAGATGATTGCACAGTTTGGATGTGGTGGTCACACTGGAGCACTTCTGGATCTCCTCAGAATGTTCTGGTTTGAGGTGGAGCCAGGTCTATTTCCGAGCCTCGCACATTAAGGTGATGAGCACTGGTTCAACGTGAACTTTGAGGCCTACAGAGCTGCTGCCATTATTCCCAGCTCTTATTAACGCGCGCGTGGGAAATGATAGCTTGCTGAATGCGCGCTCACTTTACACCAACGTGGCAAATCAGTGCCGTCGTAAACACAACGAGGAGCCCCGGCAGCATCTTGCTCCTGCAGCTGGGAGACATTTGTCTCCAGAGAGGGGCTCTCCGGTGACAGCGCGTCTCTTCCGCATTGCTGGGAGCACTGGGCTAAAACCAGAAACCCGACAGAGCCGCCCAGTCCCACTCAGACACTTTAATATTTCCTGCGCCTGCTCGTCCCTGCGACAGGTTCGCTTTGTTTCGTGGAACATACCGGCCCGGGCTCCGTGTCGAGTCCACGCCCTCACCGTGTCCGAGTTCACGTTCCCCACAAGGCCGAGCAGAACCGAGCCGCTCCGACACCACGACCTCCAACAAAACGCGCTGACGGAGAAGCCCACGGCGTGGAGCGGCGCCGTGGAGCCTTGTGGGCTTACCTCGCTTTCTAGGAAACGTGGGGAGAAGACGCTGAAAATCCCAACACAAAGCAGGAAAACAAAAAGTCAAACTTCTTCATCCAAACTGTGGGAGAGTTTCAGGCGGTGACGTCACGCGCTGAAATTCCAGCCGTCTGAGAGTCGGGAGGTTTGCCCATGTAAGGCAGCAGGCCAAGAGCACGCGCACACACACACTGACGCGTGCAGCTCACAGGCTTTCACATGAACTTCCTCCTTTTCTCACTTTATGTCGGAATAAAATAGAAGTTGAGAATAAACTAAACGAGGAACTTGTGAAAGGTGCAAACATCCACCAGCTTTAGTCTGTGAACTTCAAGTGACTCATTTTAGTATTCATGTGTCAAACTGAAGACCCAGGGCCAAATCTGGTCCTTGTTAACATCTGGTTTTCAAGATGATATTTTAAAAAGTGCAATATATTTTTATTGCTTCTCGTTTTGCTTATATTCATTCGTATCTGCTCACTCGTGTTCGGGCTGCTGTTGTTACGCCGTATTGTTTGACATTATTGGTGTTTAGCGTATTAGCTCTTTTAGCGTACCACTTGGCATTTGTTTAGTGTTTCTCTTAAAGCCCTATTCACACAGGATTAGTTTTACCTCAAGACCACATGTAATAAATAAATGACTCCCCAACGTCTGCTTTTTATGTGGCGCATTCACGCGGGATAACCAAAGCCTGAGATTTAGCTGAAATTTACAGACGTCTTCCAGATATGATGTAAACGCGCTGAAAACTAAAGAATGCACAATATAAGTGTTAAGAAGGACACATGTCATGTTCTGACTGGAGTTAATGTATTGACTGAAATTGGCTCTTGGTTTGAATTGAGTTTTAAATTTGGACCACCCTTTTGTAACCGAGTTCACACCCCTGATCTAAGCTAAAGATGTCCACATTTTAATTCACAAACTGCATCATACAGTAGGTACGAAGAGAACCAACTTAATGAAGGTGTTAAAGTGTAGCTCATAAGGATCACTGTAGTAACCACTTACCTGTGCCTGTCACTCCCTGCACTCTGAATAAGACAGGCAGACAGAAGAGTAGAACATAAAGGCCTAGCCTAGACAAAGATCATCTTATGTTAAGAAATGATAAACTTGAACCTGTTTTGGTCAAACCTTGAACATAATGTGATGCTCAGCCTCGTGCATCTGATGATGTCACAACATGTGGTGAGAAGCTGCTACATCAAAACTTTAGCTTGATATTTGTAAAACTGACTGAGCTGGAGCCATTTTTTTGTTTGTCTTCGGATGATTAGCTCTGTTGGCGATCTTGAAGAGGATTGACTCTAAAAGTTAATCAGCTTTAGATGCACATCTGATGATTATTTTTTGAACATTTCATTAAAATCAGTCAAGTGGATCATGAGAAATTTTGCTGACAGACAGACAAGGATGACTCAAAATAGTTAAGAGCAAAAATGTTAAATATAAATCCTGTGACCTGTCAGCACTCAAAATATGTGTTGGGAATCATTCTAAACTACCACCTCATCAGATCTTTTGAGAACATCTATTAAATTGTCTGGGTTAAAGCCGTTTGTCCTCTCAACATTCAGCTTGTGTAGGTCGTTACAGATGCAGTTTCCCTACACCAACCAGTACGCTCTCTGACAGTCCCATCAAACAATGTTAAAATGCTGACGTTGTTGAATGCCTGCTAGAAGACCTTGGTGTCACCAACTCAACATCTGACTGGTCGAAGCAACAGTTTCACTGCCATTTGTTTTAACCTGCAGGGGCCTGCACTGCTGGTTCTGAAGGCCTCGAGGCAGATTTACTTGACCCTAGCAACAGACGATGGTCAAAGTATGATTGGATAAAAGCTGTACATAAAAATATACTACTGGAAGCTGCACAGTCAGGAGAAAAGCTATGAAATGAAGAGAACACACATTTCAGAATAATATTAATAAATAGAAAAATATACTAAAATGTAAGTTAGTGATTCTGTTTGTGTTTAGGACAGCAGAGAAGGCTTTGGTGGCCCTGATGGTCCACCACTGCTAGAATGGCTCAGTCTTAAGAAGGGTGGTAATCAGCTACGACTGGAGCGAGCTGCTGCTCCACCAGCTCTGCCTGCAGGAATGAAAATGGAAGGCAGAGTGAGCGAGAAACACTGATTCCTAACATTTTGCAACAACTTAAGTTAATTGGCAACTGATCAATAAGACAAAAGAAATTGACAGAGTTTAAATTTCTTGGAAGTAAAAATGGGCAGAGGTTCAGTCTACAGAAAACCTATGTTGTCACAGTCTGTGTTTTTGAACTTATTTGTGTTTTCTGTTTTGTTGTTGTTCACTTGGTTCATTGTTTCTTGTTTTCCCTCAAGTTGAGCATTGTGAATTTTACAAGCCATGGCCACATAAATAATGACTTATTTATTCTTTGAGATCCTTGTGTCAAGTCTGCATTCTTGGATCCTTATCTAAAACCATGACAGGTGTCTGAAGAGTCATTGGACCATACTGGTTAATGTGGCGTCTTTATTAAAATCCTGTGTACAACTTCAGTCAGATGAAACCATGAGAAACTCAGATCTGCTGTTTGGGGATTTATGCAAAAATAAAAAAAAATCTGTTTTTGGTCAATCTGCGTTTTTGTTTAGGGCAATTAAAAACTGAAATACACCTTTTGATGGTTGGAAAATGTGATAATTCTTTATCTACAGGGATTTCTCAGTGGCCAGTGCAATAAAAATAAATGAATAGTTGGTCAGTCTATAGTCGGTCTCTTATTTTTGCATTATATTAAACTTTAAGGTTTTAATTGTTTAAATTTGGCACAATGTACTTTATACGTTTCTTTATAAGTCCAATGCTTTGTACATGTCTAAACTAAATAACCTGAACTAAAAATGCCAAGCTGCACAGCTTCTTGAGAATGACGTGCATCTCTGACGAGTCCAGATGAAAACAGCTGGACAGAGGGTTTGTACAAAGTGTAGTCTACAAAACGGATGCAGTTTGGTCCAGATCTTGATGCAAGCACAGAGCGCTCATCCAGTGAAGTGTGAATTAACGAATGTTGTTATCTAAGCAAGTTCAAACGCAAACGTCATGCTCTGCATGCTGCACTGCGTCCATATCCTGTCTTCTGGAAATGTGTGACAGTGTTTGTGGTTCTATTGTTAAACCATAATCTAAAATAATCCCTGTTGTTCCAGTAAATATTACAGAAGCATGGTCTTTGAGACCAGGCAGTTTTGTGGCTTATCTCTGAGCCTGTAGGACACTAGAATAAGATTTTAACCCCATCATCTGTTTTGATTATCCACTTTATAAACTTGCAGTATTAACATTTACCCCTTTGCATTTTTCAGCCCAGACTTGGGCCTTGAGTGTTGTGGGGCTTTAGTCAACCATTTGTATTCAGTTTTCCAGCCTTCATGGGCTCTTCAGTGTCACGCTGACCAGCACAACAGTCTAAACAACACAACATACTCTACCAAGCACACACAGGACCACTGATGTTAGAAATGGCTCAGGTCCAAATCATCTGAGAGAAAGACACCGAACTTTTCCTTGTTTGGCTTGACTGAAACGGTCTCTGTCATCCCACATATTGTGCAACGGTCCTTTTTCAGTTTGTTTTACAAACTTTGGCTGAATACGACTGGGTTTCCTCTTCATTTCGAAGAAATGAAGCATTTACATGTGAGCAGGGTGTGACTGGGATAGACTGTGGACACATAACTCTCAAACAATACTAGTTTTATTCAAAATCTAGTTGGGCTAAAAACAAATGAATAGTTACAAAACTTTTTATGTAGGTTTGTGACCTTCAATAATTTAAACAGCACTATCAAGTCATGATGTATCAAACTTATTAATAAAACTTCCTCACTGCATTAATTTAATATAAAATGTAATTTACAGTAGTTGCATTTAGACTGCATTAAAGGCCAAACGTTCATGGATTGAATGTGTATCGTTGGAGTCAGTCTCCCCACCATCACAGACATCTACACCTCCAGATGCAGGAAGAGGGCCACCTGCATCATGAAGGACCCCACTCATCCAGCACACACACTTTTTGCACCGCTCTCCTCGGGAAGAAGGTTGAGGAGCATTAAGTGCAGAACCACTAGACTGAGGAACAGCTTCTACCCTGAGGCTGTTAGACTCATGAATCTCTAACCAGAATAATCACTGTGGGGGGGAAAAAATCACTGTAATGCCACTTGGTTGTTGATATGTGCTGCTGATTATCCATGTTGCTGATCTTATGCCGCTGATTTATTTTACGCTGCTGTGTTCATTTATCCTCCTCTGCTCACACAGACTCATGTTCGTGCTGCTGTTGTTCAGCGTATTATTTTTGTACTTTTAGTGCTCAGTGTATTTTCAGTTTAGCGTATTTCTTAGTTAACATCTTAGATCTTATTACTGTTTTTCTTTACAATTCATACGTTTTGTTGGATGTAACTGGGACCCTGAATACACAGTTTTGTTCCACCAAATGTACCACATGTGATGAGAATGACAATAAAGAAACTTTGACTTGACTGCTTCTTTTATATCACAGTTTTAAACTAAAAACAGATTTGTTTTGGTCAAACGTTGTAAATTATATTATTATTAGTAGTAGTAAATGAAATTATGCACAATTTCTTGTAAGATCTTGTGAGACATGGAAGAAGTTGAGAACAACTCTCAGTTACAACTACATCAAATTTGAGCTCGATATGTAGTGGCCAGTTCATACTGGTCAGTGTTGATTAATAGTGGTGAGCTTCTTGAGTTGGATTGACTCCAAAGTTAATCAGTTGTAGCTGAATATACAATAATTACATTTAGCTAAATCAAAACATGTCTGAGCAACATATTTTTACCCAGGACCTCCTTACAAATGAGATCTTGATCTCAATGTTGTAAATTAAATAAAATTCATCCAGTTGTATTTTGGACAGACTGGGCTGATGACGACTGTTAACATCAAGTCTAAGAAGGTTGAGTCAGGCCCACTGTCTGGACGATTCTTCTTTGTTGAAACGTTTCGTCTTTTATCCAGAAGTCTTCTTCAGTCTAAGGTGCTGCAACAAACCAGTAAAAAGCTTTTTGACGGAGAGGATTCTAGGACCAGATGAGAGAACCAGTGG